TATCCATCAGCAAATGCAAGATCCTCCTGATGAGCCATCAGGGCCTGACCTAGCCTGGTGTCTCACTTTCCCATCACTATTCACAAAAAGCCACTCAAAGCCATGACCACGGACACATGGGCCCCATATATCAGGAAAGGTTAGTATAAAACCTTTGTTAGATATTTTTTAAAAACCAGCAATCTCTGATGGAAACAACTCAGAAAGGTGGTTGCCTCTGAGAGTGGAATGGAGGTTGCCTGGGAAGGAGTATGAGGAGCTTTCTGGAGTGTTGTTAATGTTCTACATCTGGATAGGGGTACGTTGCAGGGTATACATTTATCAAAACTCAGAGGACATATGCTTAATATTTGTGTACTTCATAGTTCACACATGCATTTTGCCTCAATAGAAAAAAAATCTGTAAACACAGAACTCTAATGATATGCATGTTGAAGTATTTGGGAGGAATACCGATAGCTGCAATTTACTTTGAAATATATTTTAAAATTAGGTGCATTAATGGATGGATAGAAGAATGGATAGATGGATAGTGATAAAATAAATACAGTAAAATGTAAATGGTAGAATCTAGGTGGTGGGTATATGGTTGTTTAACTGCACAATTATTTCTGTTTTGCTGCATGTTTGAAAATTTTCAAAATACAATGTTGGAGGACAGGAGGAGGAATCAATGCCTAGAGCCCAGGACCTTGAAATGGACTGACATTTAAAATACCTGATTATTTTCAACACTGAATCCACGATTCTCATTGGGTTGGATAAAGAAAGCATGATTATAGCAATGAATAATCAGTTAGCTTTTTTCTAACTTCACCACTGGCTGGTCTAGCGAACCGTAAGATCCTGGACAAATCCAGATCAAAGATGAAGGACCAGTGTCCAAGTGCAGGTTCAAGGTCCAGGTCTAGGTTCATTACCAAAGTATAGGAGAACAGTTCAGCCACGAGCCCTGATGACTTCACGCAGGTCCAAAGTCCAAGTTCAGTATCCACGTCCAGATCTAAGGTCCAGGCCCATGTCTATAAACAAGGTCAGGTCTAGGTCCAAATCTGAGGTTAAACCAAAGGTCCACATTCAAGTTTATTTGTTTGTTTGTTTATTTATTTATATATTTATTTACAGCTGCGTTGGGTCTTCGTTGCTACACACGGGCTTTCTCTAGTTGTGGCAAGCAGGGGCTACTCTTTGTTGCAGTGCATGGGTTTCTCATTGCGGTGGCTTCTCTTGTTGTAGAGCACGGGCTCTAGGTGCGTGGGCTTCAGTAGTTGCAGCATGTGGGTTCAGTAGTTGTGGCACACATGGGCTTAGTTGCTCTGCGGCATGTGGGATCTTCCCAGACCAGGGATCGAACCCGTGTCCCCTGCACTGGCAGGTGGATTCTTAACCACTGCGCCACCAGGGAAGTTCCCACATTCAAGTTTAGAAGTCCAGTTCCAAATTCTAGGTTCTAGGTCCAAATTATAATAATGTCAAGCACATGTTTCATTTCAAATTCATGTCCAAGCTCCAGGTTCAATGTTCAAGGGCAGATCAAGTTTCAGTATGAAGTTCCAGGATGAAGGTCATATCTAGGTCCAGGACTGAGGTCTAGGGTCCAGGTTTGAGGACCATGTATCAAGGTTCAGATTTATAACTAAAGATCAGATTTAAGGCCAGATTCAAGGTTCAGGACTAATCCAAGTACATGGCTGAGGTCTGCTGTCTGGTTTTCAGGTCCAAGTCCAAAGACAAGGTCAGTAGCCAAGGCCTTTGACCAGGTTGAGATCTGAGGTATAGTCCAAAGATCAGGTCCAAGGTCTAGGGCTAGGTCTGAGTTCCAGGTTCAAAGTTCAGGTGCAAGGTCAAAAGTCTACTTCCAATGTCCAAATCCAGGATTTGGTTCAAGGCCCATGACTATTTTTGAGGTTCAAGTTATATCCAGGCTCACATCCAAGGTTGAGGGACAAAGTGCAGGTCAGATTTGAGAGGATGAGGGGAGAATGACCAAAAAGGCAGAGTAGAAAGACCCTGAGCTCACCTCCTCTCACGAGCACAACAAAATCACAACTATTTGCAGAACAACCATCAATAAAAAAGACCAGAACCTATCAGAAAATATCTTCTACAGCTAAAGACATAAAGAAGGAACCATGTCAACACAGGTGGGAGGGGCAGACTTGTGATATAATCAAGTCCCATACCCCTGGGTGGGCAACCCACAAACTGGAGAATAATTATATTGTAGAGATTCTCCACAGGAGTGAGAGTTCTGAGCCCCACTTCGGGCTCCCCAGCCTGGGGGTCCTGTACCAGGAAGATGAGCCCCCAGATTCGGCTTTGAAGACCATCAGGGCTTAATTTCAGGAGTCTTTGGGAAGACTGGGGGAAACAGAGACTTCACTCATAAAGGGTACACACAAAATCTCACGCTCACGGGAATCCAGAGCAAAAGCAGTAATGTGACAGGAACCTGGGCCAGACCTACCTGCTGGTCTTGGAGAGTGTCCCAGAGAGGCTGAGGGAGGGGGTGGCTGCAGCTCACCTGGGGGACATAGACACTGGTGGCAGCAATATTGGCGAACATTCTAGTGCGGGAACAAGGCTCCTTGGGGCTTCCACCTTGGCTCATTAGGCCCAAGACCGGGCCCCGCCCAACAGCCTACAGGCACCAGTGCTGGGAAGCCTCAGGCCAAACAACTAACTAGGCAGGGACACAGCCCCACCCATTAGCAGACAGGCTGCCTGAAGAGTTCCTGAGCGCACAGCCACCTCTAGATACTACCCTGTCCACCAGAGGGCCAAGACCCAGCTCCACCCAGCGGTGGAAGCCTGCACCAGCTTCCAGACCAGCCTCACCCACCAGGGGGCAGACACCAGACAGAAGAAAACCACAATCCAGGTGCCGAAAGCCACTCGCTTTTCTTCTCTGCAGAGGAGGCTGCACAGTTGGGAAGCGCAGGGGTGCTCCTTCTGTTCTTTTAGGCTCCCGGGCTTGTACCAGTGCACTCTGCGAACCAGCTGTGCCCCCGCGGTGCAAGGGAGCGCCCACCCTGGGGGCCTGGCAATTGCTTGGCACTTAAAAAAACTTTCTGGAGGGCTCCGGGAGCATTGTAGGGGTTCAGAAGTGGGTCTCGGAGGCCCCCCCAACCTTGACTGCATTTGTGTGCAGCTGAGTGCGAGGCCAGTGTCCAGTGAGGGACAGGGGTTGCTCGTGTGTGATGTCAGAAGAGAGGCTGGACCGAGGGTGCAAAGTGGGAGGGAGAGGAGGAGCCCGTTTAGGACCAAGATCACAGGATGTTTCCGGCTTTAAATTGAAAGGAGAGGGGTGCCCCCCAACCCTTGTAATGACTGTGGGCTGCAAGGGTGTTCTTAGATTCTGGTATTTAGGTTATTTTCTTTTTTGTATTAAAATAACGCTGCAATAAACATTTGTACATGTCTCTGGGTACACATGTGTGAAAGCTTACCTGTGTATGGGAGCCAGAAGTGTGGTTGCTATGTTACAGGAATAAGTCTTCAACTTTACTCAACAAAATCACTCCTGGCGCTTCAGATAAGCATTTTTCTTCTCCATTTTATTCATTCAGGGTTTGCATTTCACCTCTCCTTCCTCAGGGTATTGCTAATGGCCCCAGACCCAGAGAAGGAATCTGCCTTGGCCTCCTTCTATTTGATAGAACCCTGGCAGAAGGGTCTGAGAGGGACCAGAGTGTGCTTGATAAAGTTACAGCAGGTCTCTGGTCCTGCTTAATTTTGGGAGTTGGTAGCATCAGATGTCCGAGGGCCAGTATTTCAGGGGGGATGGAGCAGTCTTCTCTCTTACTGAATCAGTTGAGTTACACGTTTTTTCAGATGCTCCTTATACTGTTACTGCCAAGATATCCTTTGCGCAGCTCTGTGTGGTTCCTTGAGGCCTGGAAGCTTTGGGACTCTCCAAGCTTGAGGCATTGGACTCTTTACCAGGCTGGTTTCCCCAGAGCCAAAAAGCTCCAGCCCGCTCATCTGAGGTCCTGCCACCTCTCACCTCCCCAGGGTTCTGCCAGGGATCCTGCATCAGTCCATACCTTGAGGGGTGCCCACCAACATTTTCTTTCTTTTTTGTTTCAGAGACTCTCTCTCTTGAGACAGACAGACACACACACACACACACACCTCAATGAGCTTAGATTCCCACAAAAGGCACAAAGAGAAGCTATCTCCCAGCATAGATCCCCATGGCTGAACCCAGTACAGAGGGAAGAACGGCCTTCAGGGGCAGCACGATGGCTGGGCGACCACAAACCCTGTCTCAGGTTCCAAGACAGTGAAGGGCAGTCCTGAAAACAACCCGAGACCCAACTTCCCAACAATCTTGGAACAATCTTTTCATCTTAACTAGATGAAATTGTATTCATTTATTTCTCTAGGACGATAACGTGACTTTTTGTGCACCCAAGAAGTTGAACGGGCCATCCCCATTATACTGTGTTATTTTAAAGTTTATTCACAACAACTCTGTGAGGTAGGCAATATGGTTCCCATTTTTCAGCTGGGGAAAGCGAGGCCTAGTGAGGAAAAATAACCTGCCCAAGGGGCAGGGCTGTGACTTGAACGACAGCAGTCCTGATTCCCCAAGGCCCATATTTTAACTTGCCACCCAAACTCCTTGGGCATAAGCACAGGACAAAGCTGGGGAAACGCTTACCTAGCTTCCTGTCCATCCATGCCTTCCTGAACTGCCTGACCAACCCCCCATGGTGACCCGGGACAAGTGATGCCAGGAATCTTGGCATCCTGCTTGGGATACACTTCTTATATATCTGAATTCTTTGAATCACTCACTCTGACAAACGCTGCCGCTTCAGTTGCATTTTCTTACCTGCTTTTGTACTTATCCCCTTCACATTGAGCATGTGCTGTCCCTGTTCACCAGCGCCCGTTCTTTTGGGGAAGCCGGGCTCATTGCCCTAGAAACATACCCCAGGACTGAATCTTCCCTTATTAACAAACTATGAAGCAGGAGTCATCCAGTATTTTTAAAATCCAGGTCTCTATTTTTCCTGTGCAAACATGAATGTAGGCAAAATTAATAGTCAAAAGGCTTTTTAAAATATATGCATTTTGATAACACGTTGCTAGTTACATTTTGCTGTTGATATGAGCTTGGATCACACTTTCCTTTAATAGGCCTTTGAAATTCCTTTTAGAAAGTTAAAACGGTCAAATGGTCCATAGTAAAAACCAGAAGAGACCCATGTAAATCCAAAATACATACGTGAAAAGGCAGCACCTTTTGGATGAACTACATTAGGGCCGAGTTATGTAGAACATGGATTATATAAGAGTGGACCACAGAGACTTCAAAGCAAATGGAGCATCTTGTCTGAGAACAAGAGAGAACAGGAAGAAAGAAGAGGAGAAGAAACAGAAGAGAAAGAAGGAAGAAGAAGGGGACACAGAGACAGAGAGATTGATGGAAAAGAGGATCAGGAAAACCTACATATACGGCTTCTCTGCATCAGGAGCGTGACTCGTCTTTGGGTAATTTACAATGTGTATTAAGCAAAGGATGGACCGTTAAGGTAATAATTCACAAACATAGAACCCAAATCTAGAGATACCTTATATAAAATGTTAATGCAATACTATTTACTGGATTAGACAAAAAGAGCTAGGTTCTACACTCTGCACATTTCCAGCTAAGAGCTTTGCCTCAGGATGTAATTCCAAGGGACAGCAAGGCTTCCTCTTCAGGGGTCAAGGAGCAGTTTGCAAAGACATGACCTAAGGGTCGCATCTCCTAAAAGTCCTAGTGGTCAGCTTGTTTGGCTTAGGACCCCATTCCAACCTCCAACCTGGGAGCCTTTCCCCTCCACATAACTCTCCCCACCAAGTCAGAACAGGCTGCCCCAGAACCCTGACTCAGGTACCAAGAGAGAGGTTGTCTTTGAACCCCTCTGGCGGGTTAGCAGATGTCTCTTTCCCTAACGGAGATGCTCTTTTCTATGAAACAGATTCTGGTTTCACAGCAGCTGGACGGCAGGGAGCCTGGATTTGCTTCTCAGACTCGAAGTGACCTCAGCTGGGGAGAGCTGGCTTTATCCCTTGTGCTTGTTGCAGCACCAATGGCCAGGGTTTCTAGGATCCCAAAGAGCACACGAGGATATACCAGAGTCAGAAACAAGCCCCAGACTGTCTCATGTATTGAATTTGAGTTACCACATGTACTTCAGATTCTGTTACATCTCCCTCAGCAGAAGGGGGTGAAGTGAGGGGCAGGAGCGGGTGGGTGACTAAATCATCTTCCACTTATAAAATAAAAAAATGAAGTTCAAAAGTCTAAAAACTCCCCGGGGATAAATATTAAAAGAGTTTTGTGCTCACACTTTCATCCTCTTGAGCAGGGGACACCTCACACTTTACAAAGCCCTGCTGCACGCAGTGCTTCTTGTGGAGCTCACAGCAACCTGCCACTTAACGGGGGCAGATGTAAAGAGTCCCATTTTCTAGATGAGGACACTGAGGCCATGCAGCTCGCAAAGGGTAAGGAAAGCTGGAATTCAACCCCGGCCAAGTCCCGCGCCGTGCAGCATCACACTGACAGCTGGCTCTGGGAAGCGGGAGACAGACCTCTGTGTCTTCACCGTTGTTTGGCCTCTGTTTGTGGAGCATCCCCGTCAGGCGGGAGGCCGAGCTTCACCTGGTTTTCCAGTTGGCTGAGCCGCTGTTTCACTCTCATCTGGGCGGCACTGTACTCAGCCAACAGCCGTGCAAACCTGGTCTGCAGGGTGTCCAGGGAGGACTCCAGATGCTCCACTTTCTCCTCGATGCCCTGGGGGTCTGCCCCGGCCTTGGCCAGCTCCTCGTCGATCAGGTTGTCCTTCATCAGGATCTGCCGCCCCTTCTCCTCCAGCGCCTTCTTGGCCTCAGGGTACTCAGTGAGCGCCTCCATCAGATCGTCCCTGGAGAGGCAGAACAGGTCCGAGTAACCGAGGCTCCTGATGTTGGCCGTCCTGCGGTTCCCCGACTTGCTCCCCTTGATGTTCAAGATGCTGATCTCGCCAAAGTAACTCCCATCGCTGAGGACCACAAACTGGGTGACCCCATCCTCAGCCACCACAGCCAGCTTGCCCTCCTTGATGATGTACATCTCCCTCCCTATGTCCCCCTTCTTGCAGATATAATCCCCGGGGCTGAACACCGCAGGCCGCAGCTTCAGCACCAGCTCCACCAGCAGCCCTGCCTCGCAGTCCTGGAAGATGCGGACCTTCCTCAGGGTGTCCAGGTGCACGCTGATGGCGATCTCGGCCCTCAGCTTGTTGGGGAGGCACTTGAGCACCTCCCTCTCATCCACCGTCTTCTTGTTGGCCCACAGGTAGTCGAACCACCGGATCACCCGTGTCTCCAAGTCCTTGGTCACCTTGCGGAATTGCATGTACTGCTTGACGGAGTCACTCTTGGCCTGGAACTCAGCCTGCGAAGCGTTCATGTGCGAGATCATGGAGCCCACGTTGCCCACAATGGTAGCAAAAATCAGGACACCCACCAGGAAGTCGAGGACCACAAAAAGATACTCCTCATCTTTCACGGGGGGTGGGGTCTCGCCGATGGTGGTCAGGGTCAAGGTAGACCAGTAGAGACTGTAAATGTACTTCCTGGAGAGGCGCCCATACTCTGGGTTGGAGATGTTTGGGTAGACCCAGGAGTCGGTCCCGAAACCAATGAACTTGGAAATGGCAAAGTAGAGGCAGGCGTTCCAGTGGATGATGATGAGGATGTACAAGACCAAGTTCCCAATCCTGAACATGTTGGGGTAGTTGGTCCTCGTCTCCGTGCGGTCAAAGAATTCAAAGAGCCGGGCCAACTTTAGTAGGCGGTTGAACCTCAGTTCTGGGTAGTTCATGCCCAGCTTAAAATAAGCCAGGTCCGTGGGGACCAGGGACAACATGTCCAGCTTGAAGTGCAAGGTCTTTGTGTAGTGCTTCCACAGCCGGTTAGCATCCGTGACCAACAAGCCTTGCTCCAGGAAGCCTGATGAAGAAGACAGATCACGTGGGCATCAAAGAGGCCTTTTTATGACCATGGCCCGCAGAAAGGTATCTCACCTCAAGACCACACAAAACCTGGTTATACATATATAAAAGAAACAACTTCCACAAACCACACATACCATTACTACAGGAAATGCACTCTGGTATTTTCTATTCAATGATCTAATCTATTTTATTCAATTAAAAACATAGATCAGTTAGGTAAATTTGAATGTGGATTGGGTATTTGATGGTAGTAAGGAATGCTTATTAAATTTTCAGAGATAAATGAAAGTTATACTTAAAAAATGGGACCCTAATTAAGGTTAAATGCTAACGTGGTTACTGTCTGAGATTTGCCTTAAAAAACTCCATACAAGACCAGGGAGTGGGAGGATAAATGAAAAAAGATGAGCAAAATGTTGATAACATTTGGAGCTGGGTAAGGGTATGTTGGGATTCATAACACTACTGTCTCAGTTTTGTATATGTTTGAAAATATTAACAATAAAAAATTTGAGGGCTTCCCTGGTGGTGCAGTTGTTAAGAATCTGCCTGTCACTGCAAGGGACATGAGTTCGAGCCCTGGTCCGGGAAGATCCCACGTGCCACGGAGCAACTAAGCCCGTGCGCCACAACTACTGAGCCTGCGCCACGACTACTGAGCCTGCGCTCTAGAGCCTGTGAGCCACAACTACTGAAGCCTGCACGCCTAGAGCCCGCAACGTGAGAAGCCACCGCAGTGAGAAGCCCATGCACCGCAACAAAGAGTAGCCCCCACTCGATGCAACTAGACAAAGCCTGCGCGTAGCAATGAAGACTGAACGCAGCCAAAAATAAATAAATTTATGAAAAAAAATTGAAAACCCTGGTCATGGCCTAGCAAACTGACTTTACAAATCACTGATGGCGTATGACCCGTCTTTTTATTTTTTATTTATTTATATTTATTTATTTTTTAAACTCTATTTATTTATGGCTGCATTGGGTTTTTGCTGCGGTGCGTGGGCTTCTCATTGCGGTGGCTTCTCTTGTTGCGGAGCACGGGCTCTAGGCGCACAGACTTCAGTAGTTGCAGCACGCAGGCTCAGTAGTTGTGGCTCACAGGCTCTGGAGCGCAGGCTCAGTCGTTGTGGCGCATGGGCTTAGTTGCTCCGCGGCATGTGTGATCTTCCCAGACCAGGGCTCGAACCCGTGTCCCCTGCATTGGCAGGCGGATTCTTAACCACTGAGCCACCAGGGACGTCCTGCAACCTATCTTTTTAAAACCTTGCCCAGGAGCACAGTGGTTTTCCTTCCTGGTTGCACATTACTGTCACCCAAGGGGCTCTGAAAACACATGAAGCTTGGGACCCACCCTGGTCTGGAGATGGGCTGGACCTTGGTAGTCGTGAAGCGTTATTACTGGTGAAATCCACCAAATAGGCCATGACCTGCCGTTTCCCTTCGTCCCTCTCTCCCTCCCTCTTTCTTCCTTTCTTTCTTTCATTTTCAAACATGCAAAAGAGTGCAGAGACTAATGTAACAAATGCTTCTTAGATCTGGGTTAGCAACAGCAACACACCAAGGGCTCTGTAAGCCACAGAGCTGGACCTGTCCCCAGAGTTTGGTCCCATAGGTCTGGGGCATCTCTAACAACTTTCAGGTGATGCTGCTGGTCCAGGGCCACACTTCGAGGGCTAGACCGAGGTAGGACTGCCCCCTCTGTGAAAAGCAAACATCAAGTTTGTCATCACACGTTAGGGACACCTGGCTTCACAGCTCCCCATCCCCTATTTGTTTGGTTACACTCGTGTTTACTGAGTGCCCAGATCATTACATTGCACTCGTGTGCCTTGGGACTCCTCAACACCTCCTTAATAATCTTGTCTCAATTCTGACTATTTTTTCTCCTGGAGTATGATCCATGGCCTCTTGGTGTCTGTGCCTACCTGTCCCCCTCTCTCTCCCAGCCTTCTGCTGAATCTTAGATTGCCAAGGACAATACCAAGCACAAAAAGGGGTGGGGTCGATGTCTGGGTGAGGGCTGCCTGTCCCACCGAAGCCTGATTGATGCAGGGAGTCCCCCCAACCAGTCAGCCACCCACGGGGCTCTTGCATCTCCATAGGCTCGTGTAACCATGGAGTGGCAGGCCACCAGGACTGGCCAAGTCACCCAGGCAAGCCTCAAGCTGTGTTCTTGAGATCTTCTAAGTTATGATGCAGGGCACTAATTCTGGAGCAGGGGGGCCACCCATCTGGCCTGCTGGGTGGTGACTGTGGCCTTTAGGCTGGCCACTCAGCATCTCTAGGCCCCCGTTTCTAAAGCAGTAAGATGGAGATAACCATGTCTACACTTCTTGTCTTCTGCAGCAGTTCTCATGAGAAAACAAGACGTGCTTGGAATGCTTTGTACACCATGAAGCCACCCTGAGGTTTCGCTGTGATCCAGTGGTTTTTGCATCCACAACCATGGCACAGTTTTTAGTTTAAAAATCTTGGAAATGACAAGCAGGGCCTCCACCAGCATATGTGATGTCTTTGTGAAAATAAGAAAAAGGAGGCCCAAGGAGGCCCAGCTTGGAGACTGAGGCATGGGGGGGGCTTTAGCCCCCACTCACAACTAGAGGTGATCTTGTTACCGACGGGTCCTTGGACTCTTTAATCAACAGAAATTGACAAGAGTCTAGATGAGGAATTCAGGCCTTTATTGGGACTCATGCTGCAGCACAAGGGAGCGAAAACAATAGCAGGTGGCCTTGCTTGCTCCCTGAGGGGGGAGAGTGAGCTTGTCCCTTAAAGGATATGGGGGTGGATTGGTGGGTTGGGCTGGAGGGGGGGGCTTAGGTGGTCTGCACATACATGTAGTTATTTTTAGTCCTTTACAGATTCTTTGTGTCCCGTTGCTAGAGGAGATGTTTGTCTAGCGGCAAGTGCAAGCACTCTGGTAGAGGGTCCCAGGTCCCAGCCTGTCTTAATCGAAGGAAGTCATATCCCTCTAGGCCCTGTTTTAGATTTCAGTTCTGAAACTAATATACTTTTAGTATATTACACCTCATCTAAAAGCCATGGGGTAACATGCCCTGGCTCCTCTGACTGTCCAAGAAGAGGAACTCCAAGGGCTACCATTCTGGATCTCCCTGAACTTGCCCTGTGGCCCCCAGGTGGCCCCCGAATCATGCTGTGGGGTCTGCGGCCCTGGGCCCACTCACCTGTCCGGGCTCGGACTAGCACATCGAAGCCATAGAGGAAGTCGGCTGAGTAGTCCAGGACCAGCCAAAGCATCAGGTGCTCAGACTGAAGCTCATCAAAACAGGCCCTAAACAAGTGTGAGAAGCGGCAGGTGTGTAGCGGGGAGGGACTAAGGCGGGCAGCAGCTCTGTGCTACAAACCTGGGGTCAGCTCATCCCGCTAACAGCCCAGCCCACAGGGTTGCTCCCCAGCATCAGCGTCCCAGCCCCGATGAGGGGACCCAGGCTCTCAGAAGCTTTTCTGTCTCAAGGTCACCGAGCTCCTAAGAAGAGCTGGGACTGACCCCAAAGAGTGGGCCCCGTTGCCTCGCAGCAGTAGCGACAAGACTGCTCCCCTCCCCTGGCCGGGGAGCAGTTTATCCAGGCCTCAGATGAAGGGGCTGAGAACTTGCCCTTTCTGGGGCCTTTAAATGCCAACGAAGATATAACAATTTCTGAGAGATTAACAACAGAACAAGCCACATCCGTCCCCACAAATTAGCGGTTTGGGAGCACCCCGAGGCCCCGGCCACCCTCACAAGAGCAGCAGCTCACCCTGCATCCCAACCGGCTCAGAAAACCCAAAGCCCACAGCCAACAGCCTGAAAATGTCGCCTGGCGCCTGCATCCCTGTCCTGCAGGTCAGCTCAGGAGTGACCCAGCCCCTCCCACTTCCTCTCAGAAGAGCAACGGCTCGCCCTTGCATCTTCCTCCTGCAACTCCATCAAGGAGGCTCCAAGGTGCCAGGACCATGGTTTCGATCTCAAAGCCAGGCCTCCACCAGTGCTTCAGGGAACCCAGGAGGAACTGAGGCACATGCAGCTGGATGGTGGCTGCCAGGGACTCAGAGCTCTGTGTTGAGGCCCCGCCCCACGCCCCTACCTGCAAACAAGCAGACACCAGTTGTAGAAGATGGGCACGGCGATGATGGTCAGCCAGTGATAGTACATGTTGTTGGAGGGGTCCACCACGGTGGTGTCCTTCTTCTTTCTGGAAACACCGACACACAAGCAGCACAGTGTGCTGGAAGACCACAGCTTTGGAAAGGCTTTGAGACCTGGCCTAGCTTAAGAGACCCCAGGACAACTGCGGGCTTCAGCTAGAGATGGCTTCCCAGATAGGGTGCTGTCAGTCCCGGGGGGGTCACATGGGTGTCCTTGTATGGGTGCCCCCACCCAGGCTGGGAGCAGGGCAGACTCCGAAGGCCTTCTCTCCCAGCTCAGCGCCCCAGGAAGCCACCGTTGACTACAAAACGACAGCGATGACATTCCCGTGTCCTGGGGTATCATCCATAGCCTTCAGGGTGCTGAGGAGGAAACTGGAGCAGTGATGTTGGAACCACCTCGGGGAGCTCTGTGAAAATGCCAGCTCTCAGGCCCAGCCAGACCCCTCCAGGACTGGGGTCTGGAAATGTGCACTTAATCACTGTCCTGGGTGGTTCTGAGACAGCTCCTCTCTGGACTGAACTTGGGAGCTTGGGAGCCCAGAGCTCTCCCTTGGGAACATGCTCTCTCCACCTCACTAACTGCAATCGTGCAGATGTTCTAAAGACGTTTCCTGCCTCTCCACCAAAAACCACCAACCTGGGAATCATCGAGGTATGTCAGCCAACACTGAATGGAAGAAATAGCTTAGGGTGCTTTTGGTGTTTATTTTCAGGATTTTCGGAGGATTGGAATTTATAGGCGGTACTGGAGATCTTTCTTTGGGTCCACGCGTCTCCTCCCCCACCCCATCTGCCCCCCATGCCCGCCTAGGCCTGCAGAGCTGCTCCCGCGCCCCAGAGGAGACCCTGAGCTGCCTGTTTTCACCTCAACTCAGCAAGTCCGAGATCAGCAGCTGATTAACTGGGCTTTGGACGTTCCCAACACTCATTGCCACTGGGTTTGGATTAAAGTTTGTGAATATAGTGTTTTCTAGTACCCAGGAAAAGGGCTCCGCGTACTCCACTGTGTGGACAGCCATCTTGTGGGCAAACAGAATGCCCAAGGGGAGGGCACCGGAGCAGGCTCCCAGGGAAGCCCCGAACTGCTCACCTGAGGCTGGAGACAAACCTGCCTACCTACAAGCCCCCCCTTTGGGCTCCCCGACCTTCCCTGCAGAACGAGACCCTCACGTGATCTCAGCAGGCCTGATCCCTGCCTGAGACCAACTCCTTTTCTGTAGCCCTAAGCAGCCCTCTCTCCAGGGCTGACCCTAAGGCCTGATTGCATCTCTCTCTCCTCCCCAGGGCCAGGGCCGGGTGGTGTGGAACCAGGCCTGCTGTGACCACGGAACCCCCTCTTTGGGGGCAGTTTCTCCCAGTACTTACTCCTCCTTTTTTGGGTTTTCCTTTTTCTCTTCCTTTTTTTCTTTCTCCTTTTTCGCCTTGTCACTGGATGACACAGGGTGACATTTAGCAATTTTCATATACCAAGGTCATTACCACGGGGAGAGGGTAGGCCACAGTGACACGGGGGAGAGGGCGTGGTGCAGGAAACCAATCTTTCTAGCACACTGGGATGAAATGAGGTTGTTGGTTTCCTGAATAATATCATTATTATTATTCCTGAAGGGGGAGGGTACCACCTCCACTGAAGTATCCATTGTATACATTGAAATGTACACAACGGGTCAGTCTAATATTCTACAATTTCTGACCTATTTCCGTGAGTCCCTAGAAAGTCACAGCAGCTTGAGACTGGAAACTTTTGAGGTAATGGGAAATAAACCCAAATCCACACCTTTACGGTGGAAAAGTCACTCAGGGTTTTGGGAGTCACGTGGAACGCTCTTTGTTCTGAGGGAAGGGGGTGGCTTTTCCGTTGTTCTGGGGTCACATGAAAACCTGGCCCTTGGTGGGAAAGCCAGGGGACAGAAAGGAAGCAAGACCCTTAGGCAGGCACAGGTGTGCTGTGCAGCAGCGAGTCTTCAAGTCGTCTGAGGCAAATGCAGCCGCGCTCAGACGCTTCCAGACTTTGCTGGATGTGGCGCTGCAAGCGGGGCCTCGCCCTCCTGTCTGCATCGGCAGGAAGGGCCTGTAAGGGCAGATGTTTCCTCAACGCACAGCTTTGCTCTGCTTCCCCTTCTTTATTGCACCTCCTTCATGGGCTGGACACAGTTACAAGGGTTACCTATTAACGGTTACAGTAGTCCTGCAAGGCACGCGTTATTACCCACTGAACAGCCCAGGAAACAAAGGTGGAGGGTAAAAGACCCTGCCTGCCTCAGGGCACCCCTGGAATCACCTGCAGGCCCTTCTGATTCCCCTGTTCCTGCCCCTGGAGGAAGGAAGGGCTGAGAAGTAAGTGTCTGCTAATTAAACACTCGTTGAAAAGGACCAATGCACTTTACACAGCACTTCCCCAGGAAATAATCAAAGGTGTGTGCAAACATGCATACAGAAGAATCATCACCACCATTATTTCTAAGTCACAGCACAAACAGTCTGATCATACAACAGAGGAAATTCTTCATCAACCACAGAATTCTATGAGGCCACTTACGACGAGGTTGTGGAAGAATATTCAGTGACAGGGGAAAATGTTCCTCAGATTTCGCTAAGTTAAAAAGTAGACTGCAAAAGATTTCCTAATAATAGCTGTACTAGTTTTCTGTTGCTGCCAGAACAAATTACCACAGACTTAGTGGCTTAAAACAGCCCAAATGTATGATCTTGCAGATCTGTAGGTCAGAGATCTGGTGGGGGTCTCATCGAAGTCAAGGTGTCGGCAGGGCCATAATACTTTCTGAAGACGCTAGGGAAGAAACTGTTTCCTGCTCACTTGGATTGTTTGCAGAATTCAGTTCTTTGCAATTATAGGACCAATATCCTCACTTTCTTGCTGGCTGCAAGCTGAGGACATTCCCAGCTTTTAGGGGCTGCTGCATCCTTGGTTCATGGCGCCCTTCCTCCATCTTCAAAGCTGGCAACAGCCGGTTGAGTCCTTCTCAAGATGCCATCTCTCTGCAGCTGGGAAAGGTTCTCCACTTTTAAGGATGCATGTGATTCGACTGGGTCCACCTTGATAAGCCAGGAAAATCTCCCCATCTCAAGGTCCTTAAACTTCATGACATCTGCAAACTCGCTTTCGCCATGTAAGGTAACATAGTCACAGGATGTGGGGATTAGCATATGGGCACCTCCGGGCTACGTACTACAGTCTTCACTGGCCCTCAAAGATTTCCTTGCATCCCATGTGCAAAATGACTTCACCCCCATTCCAAGATCCCCCAGCCTCATCCCATTAGAGCATCAACTCAGAGTCCAAAATTATCATCTAAGTCTCATCAGTTCAGAAGTCCCAAATCTCATCATCTAAATCAGGTGTGTGGGAACTCTGGGTGTGAATCATTTGAGACACGAGTCCTCCCTACCTGTGGAACTAAAGAAACGAATCACCTCCATAAACACAGGAGAAGGCATAGGACACCAGGTGTAGATATTCTAGTTCAGCAAGGGAGAAGAAGATGGGAGGACAAAAGGAGTCAGTGGTTCTAAGTGATTTCGGAATCCAGCAGGGCCATGGGCCAGTATGCTTCAAGGCCTGAGAATAAACCTCTATAGCTCATGACTCCGCCCTCAGTCATCCTTCCTTTTTCATGAAAGGTAGCACCTGCTTGTAGCTGAGTAGTTTTTTATCAGCCTGCTTTCTGCATCTAGAATTTAGAGATCTAACAGTTCTCCCTCATTTTATACTGTTTCTATCCTTCAGCTCCAAGCTGGCAGCGTTTCTGCTGCCATAAAATCCTCTAGACCTTGATGGGTCATGTATACGGGAGGGATCCACTCCGCTAGACAGAGGCTTGTCCACAGATCTTCCTGAGAAATCCCTTCTCTATTTTTGGCTTCTGTTGAGATGAGCCGTGGTTCACACCCTCGGTCTCTTCAGAGGGTCTTTTATGTGACTGAAGACTCAGAGCTTTTGATCTTCGAGTTATCAGCAAGAGTTCAGCCGCATCCTCTGCTTTTGCCTGAAGGCATGCTTTCCTGACAGGGACTTTTTAAAACTTATTCTCTTTTGCCATCTGAGCAGGCTGAGAACTTCCCAAGTCATCAAGTCTTGTCTCCTTTTCATTTATCAGTTCTTGCCTCAATTTCTTTCTTAAGTTTTACCATCAACAGCAAGAATAAACCAGGCTGCACCCTCGGTACCTTAGCTTAGAAATGTCCTCAGCTGAATATTCAAGCTCGCTGCATACGAATTCTGCTTCCCCCATACTTGTGGGACATAATCCCGCTCAGCTTTTTGCCACTAAACAACATGAATCCCCTTTCCTTCAGGTTCTGAAAGCCTGCTCCTCACGTCCTTAGGAGCCCTCACCAGCAGCACCCCTAAAGTCCAGGTTTCTACTAATAGTCTGTTTCGACCATTTAGGTATTAAGTATGTAGGCAGCTTAGGTTTTTCTCTGTAATGCTCCCCATTTTTCCTTCTGAACCCTCACTGCTATAGTTTTTTTTCTGATGATTGTTCCCCACTTCTTTATATCTTTATTGGAGAATTGCTTTACAATGGTGTGTTGGTTTCTGCTGTACAATAAAGTGAATCAGCTATATATATATATATACATATATCCCCATATCCCCTCCCTCCCACCCTCCCTATTCCACCCCTCTAGGTCGCCACAAAGCATCGAGCTGATCTCCCTGTGCTACTGGTAGAGTCTTTAACATTCATATTTCTTTTAACAACCTGTTCAAAGCAATCTAGGCTTTTTTAACGAAAACATGCTCCTTAAAGTTCTTCTAGATCCTGCCTAGGGTCAATTCTGAAGCCACTTCCACATTTTAGGTATTTGTTACAGCAGCACTCCACTTCTGGGATCGAAAGCTGTGTTACTGATTTTCTACTGTTGCCATAACAAATTACCACAAGTGTAGTATCTTAGAACAACCCAAATTCATTCTCTTACAGTTCTGGAGATTGGAAGAAGTCGTATAATCTGACTGGATGAAAATCAAGGTGCCCTCAGGCTGTGTTCCTTTTTGGAGGCTCTGGAGAGAATCTGTTTCCTGCTCACTGGGACTGCAGGCAGAATCCAGCTCCTTGAAGCTCAGGACCAAGGTCCCTGTTCTCCTGCTGGCTGTAGATGGAGGGCTATCTCTGGCTTTCGGAGGCTGCTGCATCCGTGGCTCAGGCCTCCCTCCCCACTTCCTCCATCTTCAAAGCCAGCAATGACAGGACAGCCCCACTCACACTGTGAATCTCTCCTCCTTCCGTCTCATATCTCTGACTCACTCTCCTACCTCCCGCTTCTGCTTTTAAGAACTCATGTGATTACATTGGGCCCACCTGGATAATCCAGAATAATCTCTCCATCTGCAGGTCCTTAAATTCAATCACATTTGCAAAGTTTCCTTTGTCATGTAAAATAATCTACTCACAGGTTCCAGGGATTAGGATGGAAAAACATTTTTGGTGAGGTTGTGGTAGTGAAATTACTCTGCTTCCCACAGTAGTCAATATTGATTGATCATTTACTATGTACCAGGCACTGTTGTAAGCACTTCACATGTATTAGAATAGTTAGTCTTAACAAAACTCTGTAAGATGCCAGTTACAATCCCTATTTCACAAGTCGGGAAACTGATGCACAGAGAGGTCAGGTAACTTGCTCAAGGTCACAAAGCTCTTAGGTGGTTGAGTTGGGATGCAAATGCACTTAACCAGTACCTATATTAAACATATTGCATCTGTCTATGTATCTGTGTATCTATGTATCCACGTATCTATCTATTCAATATATGTGCCTAGAGAAAACTTGGAGGGATATTTGCCAACATGTGAAGAGGGGTTGTCTCTGATAATGGGGTTCAACTGCTAACGTAAAGTGTACTTTTTTATGGGTGTATGCTCGTGGGTGCTTTTCTGTGTTTTCTAAGTTTTTGACAATGAGCATATTAATAAACTAAGAACAAAAGTTGTTAGAATCTTTAAGTGAGAAGAGCAAGGACACTCACCCATCCTCTGTTTTGAATCTACTGGTCTTTCTGCCGCTGAAATCTTAATGTCAAGTCACCAGCAGAGGGCGCTGCCCACAAGCTTATCGGGCACACTTAGCCCTGCTGAGAGTTTAATTACACCAGGCTCTGCCACCCTTGTTCAGGATTTGTGGCCCCAGGTTACAAGCTTTGGACTTTCCTCTGGCTACCAACCTGCTGAGGGCCTGGGGAAGACCCTGTGCCATCCAGCTGTGTCCCGGAATCCACCCAACACTGCCCCAGGGGACCTACACAGAGCTACAAAACGAGGCTGGTTTTGGCTGAGAACAGATTGATCGGGAGAAAGAAACTTTCAGAACCCATGGGACTAAGTGAAAATGCTAGAAATGTGGTGGAAGAATGGGGGAAGGTGTCCACAAGAATTACTTGTGTATCTTTGTACCCAGGTGGCTCCATTTGGGGGCAGCCCCCAATTTTGTCCCTCGGTCCTTGGCTGCAGTGTGCACCCACGATACGAGCCCATCGGAAAAGATTTATAAGAGCCTGATGTAGCTGACGGCATCCACACCATCCTTGCCCACATCCCAGCCCCAGGATGGAGAAGCCTGGAGACCCACCCACAAGACCTCTACCTATGGTTTCTGGTGCCCTGAGCCTTTGCCTGACTGCGGGACTCAACACCAGGTTTCCAAGGGCATCAAACACATATCACAGTAGCTATCATTTTGCAGATTAAATCATTTCATTTTTCTTGACTGTTGGCATTTGGGTCTCTGGATTTGATGTCCCAACTTATGTAAACAAAATGCAACTAAGGGGGAGAGGATGGGGGAGGGATCAACTGGGAGTTTGGGATTAGCAGATGCAAACTATTATATATAGAATGGATAAACAACAAGGTCCTACTGTAGAGCACAGGGAACTATATTCAATATCCTGTGATAAACTATAATGGAAAAGAATCTGAAAAAGAATATATGTATGTGTAACTGAATCACTTTGCTGTATTCCAGAAACTAACACAACATTGTAAACTCACTTCAATTAAAAAAATACATTTAAAAAACAAACAAAGAAGCCCCCAAATGCAACTAAGGTTCACGGAGGGGAATGGAAAGAAGTTCTATCAGAAGAACAAAGGGAAATAACAAGAAGCAGCCTCGGCACAGTTCTCGGTCGGCCGGAAGTCAAGGAGTTGGCATTTCTTGGCTGATACGGATGGTTTTCCCCCCTAAGCTCCAGCTGAGACCCCCCTCCGCTACCTACCTCCACGGTGTTCTAAAAAGGAAGGCTGGAGAGCGGGGCACACACACACACACACGTGTTCACACACAAACATGGTCACACACATACGCACACTGTGTGCTTGGGCTCTTGGGAGATGTTGCCAGAATCGCACAGCAAACTGCTCTGCCCGCTCAGCGCCGGGTGGCAGGAAGGAATTACGGTGGGTCACGGTTTCAAGAGGCTAATCTCTGGCACTATTTAAATCTCCTCTTTCCACTGTCCCGATCACGCCCTCCACATTGGCCTGATTTGGCTTGAAGACAAGGGCACTTCACCGGCACACAGGAGCCTGAGGATGCAGAATGGAAAGTGCATTCTCATCATGAAGGAGGTTTAGCCACTGCTCTGTAAAGGGACTCCAGCTTTGCACCTTCAGATACATAGCAACGGAGGTGTTAGCACTGAAAATGTTTACCGAGCCAACACCTTCTCTTTCTAGATGAGAACAATGAGAGACACAGAGATAAAAGGACCTGCCCAAAGAAGTCACACAGACCAGGTCCCTCTCCCCATTTGTCCACGGGGATGGGTTTCCAATGGAAGGAGCAGGACCCTAGAATGGTCTGGTGGGGTTTGGGGGAGGTAGCAGTACAAAGCTGGGGTGTCTACAGGGAGGTGGTTGGCCGCAGGGAGTGGGAGGGAGCAGAGGTACTCACTCCTTCTCTGAGTTGTTGCAGGCATTGGTGTTGCTTCTGGCCAGGGGCCAGTCACTGCGGGGAGGTAAAGAGAGCACAGCATGGGAATCTGAACTCAAGTCCAATTGCTGGGGACCCCTTGCCCCCAGGCGGTTATTCTGGGACTCCCATCCCCTGTCTCACGGGCCTTTCCACACAGCTTGAACAGAGGGAACTGTTATTGTCAGGGACAGACATTGTTTTGTGACAGTTAGTGTTGGTGAAGGGGAGAGGATGAACACCTGGGTAAACTGAGGCTTCTGAATGACTGAGGATTAACTCTTTGCATCCCACCCAGCATCCTAGCCTCGATTCCTCTCAACGTCCTCCAGTTTTAGCACGTGCCAGTCAGTGGGCCAGGCGCTGGGGGGGGCACAGAGACCACCCGGCGCGGCGCCTGCCCTTAGGTGCTCCTGGGTGAACAGGCCAAGCTCCTTGGACCAGAATGGACATAGTTAGCAGCACCTTGCTGCCCCCTCTGCAGAGACATGGCTGTCACAGGGCCCTTCCCTTGGAAACCCCATCACAGGGGCCGCTTCCAGTTCTCAGGACAAAAAAATGGACTCTTGGGCTTCCCTGGTGGCTCAGTGGTTGAGAATCTGCCTGCCAATGCAGGGGACATGGGTTCAAGCCTTGGTCTGGGAAGATCCCACATGCCGCAGAGCAACTAGGCCCGTGAGCCACAACTACTGAGCCTGCGCGTCCGGAGCCTGTGCTCCGCAACAAGAGAGGCTGCAATAGTGAGAGGCCCGTGCAGCGCGATGAAGAGTGGCCCCCGCTTGCCGCAACTAGAGAAAGCCCTCACACAGAAACGAAGACCCAACACAGTCAAAAATAAATAAATTAATTAATTTTTTAAAAAAAAGGACTCTGGGCAGAGCTGCCCCAGGTTTCAGCCCATCCTCCCCCTTCCCCTGCCCCACATTCATCTTAGAACTCCAGGGCCTGCCATCCCAGATCTATGTGAGAATCTGGTGGAAGGTGGGGGCTGGTTTCACAACCAAGCACGTTTACTGAAAGTTGGATTGGGCAGTACTTGGTGATGTTCTTTAGGAAAAGGCGTGATCTCCCTGAGCTCACCTGCCAGTTCACATCTTTGACAGCTGGTTTTAGAAAGCCAGCCTGGCCTCACAGGGCTAGAGGGCAGCTTGCCTGTCTGTGGTGACTGCAGACCATTCACGGGACAGGAGACCCCGGGGCCCGGAGCCAGCTGCTGGTGACACTCCAGCCTGACTCTCAGGGCACCTGTTCTATGATGTTGAACATCCAGCCAAATGCCTTTTTGGTACTTCTGCTCATCCCTCCCAAGCCTCCCTCTCCCCATCCAGGATGTGGCTCTAACTGCTTGTTTCAGGATTGGTTCAGATCATCTAAAACTCCCCTGGGGAATCAAAACTGTGAGATTATGGAGGAAAGTTTAGCTCTCTGGGGTGCAGTTGCCCGTGAGCTGCACCATAATCTGCCATAATCTCATCGGGCCAAACCCACAGGAGAACTAAGACCCATCTCTGCATACACTTTGCTTTGCTGATGGGACTTGGCCTTGAAAATTCAAAGTCTTCTTCCCCCAGGAAGCCTCCCTGATTGATCTGCTCCCATCCTGCACCTATGCATTCACCTGCCCACTCTGAACCTTCCAGCAAGTGACCAGGCATTGGTGGCATAGTTGGGGCCTGGTTCTGATGGGGTCATCCCTCCATTAATCTGGTCATATAGGGAAATGGGCAGAGTCTAATGTTCATCTCCATGAGTCTAAAGTTGTGGAGAAGAAGTTTGATCAATTAAGCCAAGGAAGTCTTTGCTTGCCTAAAAGGAACTGAACCAGCCTGGCTGGTTTGCTAGCAAACCTCCTTTCCTCCCCCACTCTTTCCTCCTCCTCCACCCTCCCTTCGTCCTTAGCTGCCAGCCCTCCTGTCTTTCTGGCTCAGCAGCGAACAGCATGTGGGCCTCGTGGTCCTGGTACTCCCTCACAGCCTGGGATGCCTGGCCCTGGGAACCTGGGATGGCCCTGCACACATCCAGCCAGCACCCAGGCCCTCCACGGTCCCCTTCCCACAGCCCAGGGAGCCCGAGGGTTTATAGTCCAAGCTCATGGGAAAAGGGAGCCTGAGAACGCTGCTCCACTGGGCCTCCGGCTCTCAGCCAGAGATTCTCACACCTTCCCCAGCAGAGAAGACTAATGTGCATCTCCTAGTGTCTCTGGCAAGGCATCTCTTTGAACTCTCATAATTTATCTTAAATACACTTGTATTTTGCAATGCACTGCATAACCTGTAATAAACATAACCCCCTGCCCCAAATCTGGAAATAAAATCAAAGCTCCAAAAAGATTCATCTGTTTCCCCTGAGGCTTCATGGCCTTTACTCCCCAGGGGCTTTCTTTGCCTTTTCGAGGGGCCCGCAACCAAGCCCTTCTGTTCCTTTGACTCCAAAACAGACAGCATTTTCTCTGGCAAATTATACAGGGACTGTCTGTTCTGCAACAATCATGCTTCTTTTCTCACACTTTACGTCTTCTAAACCCTGGCATAACCTAGAGAATTCAGCCAGAAGATCTTTTTCAAGCCCCTTTTTCCTTAAAACAGGTTCTGAGCAAGTGTCTTCCTGTTTGTGAGGCTGAGAGGAGGTCTGCTTCCCCTGAACGTGTTACCTCTTCTCCCCCAACTGCCCCAAGGGTCCTAAAGAGACCCTCTGCTGTTCAGCGACAATGGATTCAACCCACAGTCGCCCAGTGGTCTCCCCGCCCACCAGAGGCTGGGGTGACTTCTCAAGAACACGAGAAGAGGGGGAGGGGAGGCAGCAGCTCTGTGCGGGGGTGGGGGCAGGGGGGTTGGGGGGTGTCAGTCCAGCCCCTGCAGATTTCTCTACTTGCAGGCACCAGACAGCGCCAGCCACAAGCTCCCCACTGGGCAGGGGGCCGTGCAAGGTGCTCAGAGCCCTTGCTCTGCAGACCCTTCTCCTACTAAAAAGCAGACACTCTCCTCATCCCCCATCCTACTCCCACCTACTGTGCTCCCCATGGTTCTTAAACCAACCTGGGGTGAGGATGGTTCCCCTTCAGAGTTCTAACCAAACTTTGGACCTTTTCCCCAGAAGAATGTACATATACCCATCCATAATATTGTGGGTACCATCTAGGTACTCACTGAGGTTCGTGGTACAAAAGCCCCAGTTTTTTAGCAAGGTGGGTCACAGTGCAAGGTGAGTAGGATGAGGGTCCTTTAACGGAGAGATTGGTGAGGCTAACGTCCCGGGTGCGATTCTGAGAGCACCAACTCCAGGGGGCGCTAGCGGGAGCTCCGCGGAAGACAGGGTCAGCTGCCCATGAGGCTGGCGCCTCCGGTTAAAGGATTTCCGCTCCCGCAGGGCTTCTTGGGCTCGTGTGGAGACTCCTAGAGCATGAGTGTTCCCCCAGGACAGACCCCTTCTTCAGGGAACAGCTGAGGGACTGGTGCTCCCGGCCACCCGGGGGGCGGCGGGTATCCACGCTGCATGGAAGGGGCAGCAGGTGCTTCCCTCCCCGTTTGGGGCAGGCAGCCCCGCCTCCCTTACCTTCTCCCTCTGTCTGGCGGCTCCTGGCTGCCCGCGTTGTTCTGGACATGGCTTTCGCGGCTGGACACCTCCTTAAGCTCGGCTCCGTGGAAACGCTCCAGGAAAGAGTCAGGCCTCTGGTCCTCGTGGCGTAAGTGCCTGGCGGCCCAGGCACGCAGCGAGATGATGAGGCGTGACAACCTGGAAGGGCACAGACCCGCAGCGAGGGCGGTGTGAAAGGAGACGGAAGCCCCCTCCCAGAGGGCTGGGGCAGGGGCAGAGATGCCGGCAGGATGTGGGTCCCAGGGCTGGTCTCAGGTTTGTACGCCACCCCCTGCCCCCACTCTCCAGAGCCTTTTCTTCCCTCCACCTCTGCCACCTGGGACGGAGCTTCCTCCATAAGGGACATTTCTTCATTATGGCTTTGTCCCTTTAACACCTGGACTCCATCAAAGGCACGATCCTGCCAATGGGCCATTTAGCAAGCTTTTCTGCTCATCTTTCCTTCTGCCCCATGTAGAGCTCTTTGTTACGACTGGTAAGCATAGGCACAGTAAAAAATACAATTTCCGAATAGTGATAAAATTCAGAGCAAGGTCTAAAGGAACAAGCACCCAGATACAACCTAGGTTCTTTCCCCAACCCTTGTCCTATGAATTGCTCTTCATACAAACTCTTGTTTTCTCCCCAGCCCTGTGCAGAAGTTCCTGTGCAACGTGCCCTGACCTCTCTCCTGGAGCGGACACCACCCGGGCCGCAAGCACCTGAGACCAGGCAGTCCACGCCCAGAGCTCATCTTAGCTTCAGTTTTCTGTAAAAAAGCTTCCCTCAGCCCTGCCTCTTGCTTCCCCGTCTTGGCCAGGGGGGGAATGGAAAGAGAGACTCAACTATTTCTTGGAGTTCAGCTTTCCTGACTGGGCACCCACTGTGCACGCCACTGTCCCCAAGAAATCAGTTCTGAGCAACCTGGCATGGAGTCATGAATTGTCACATACCTTGATCCCCATCACACACCTGTGACCATAGCCTAAGGGAATAAGTTGAAGTGAGGCAACATCCCACGAACAGAGATGCTTACAGCGGCTGCTGCAGATGAATGGCAAGGTGCCTGCCGAGCCCAACCTCTCCTCTCTGACACTCCCCACACCCACGTCCTCCCTCTGCTGAGGGAGAGAAGCAAGGTCATACTCCCCGGAGCTCCAGCCTCAGCCAACAGGACGACTGACCCACAGAGTCACTCAAGCCTCGGAACTAAAAACCACTCCAAGATGGGGTTGGGTGTTTCAACTCAGGATCATATGGTGAAGGCTGTGTTCAGCCTGTGCCTGCTGAGGTAAGCCAGAAACAGAGAAAGCCAGAAATGTAGGAGGCACGCAGGCAAAAAGCACACAGATCATGAAATGCTGCTAGAGAAACGAGAGAGGGAAGGCAGCTGCTTCCCCACGGCCCCTTATGAGCCCCACTGGCTCCGTTTCCACAAGGTGGCCTGGATCTTAGCTTACACCAGCCCCTGCCCCAGCCCTACCCTTTTCATTTGAGCTAGTTGAAGGTGTTCTCTAACTTACGATCAACAGGACTTTTATTAGTAAGATATTTTATTAGTAAGACAAAAAACACTGGAAATCACTTAAATGCCCAGCTGTAAGTGGCTAGTGAAATAAATAATCCTCCACAATGAAAAACATGAAGAATAACTAGATAAATTAATTTTTTTGCAATACTCTTAAGCAAAACCTGTAGAACACGTGACTGTATGAAACTCTGGCTTTGGTAAAAAAAAAAAATATCAGTGGAAGGAAATAATGAGTCCAACATTTGTGGAGCGCCCGTCGTAAGGCAGCGCTGGGCTCTGCTGCAGCCCTCATGTTACTGGATGCATCTTTAGATGAGACGTGAAAGGTGAAATGACTCCCTTCAGGTGGTACAGCTACTGAAGCCGGAGGACAGATGTCATCAGAAGGGAGACAGAGCTCGGAGCCTAGTTAATCTTTCAAATACTTTTGTGAGGACATAAGCTATGAAGTCTAGACCCATACGAGTGAGGACCTGCCAGGGGCTATTTCCGACAGAGCCACGATTGCCCTCTGTGTGCCACCGTGATCCACCCAACGGTCTCCCACGGCTGGCTGATCTTTCTTCTGAATTCTTTTCTGAAACTTCTCTGGTTGGCTTTTTTTTCCTTGAATTCTTCCAGAATTGAGCAAGTACCTCAATATCACTTTTTATGAGAGCAATTTCAGATAAAGGCAGTTTTTCTTAGACTTTTCTGAGCTCAGAACACCTGACCCAAGAGGAAATGACGCCCTGATAGATTTCTGACTCTGCTTCTCCTGCCCCTTTCTTCTCCAAATCTGCAACCCTACCCTCAACCACCATTTCTTCCTGAGACTTATCTACCTTCTTTCTGCCTCCGTCTGCCCTTTCCCAAGGTGAGGGCTAAGACCGGTCGGTTACCTGGCGGGCCCCTGGCTGGTGAAGGAGCTTCGCTTGGATTCAGCCAGTCCTCTGGTCTCCATGGTGATGCCTTCTTGCAGTTCTGACGGTGTCTCCTCACATGGCAAGTGGGTCCTAGGAAATCAAATATGCAGCAAGCGAAATTGATTTCAAGCTCATCCTTGACATTGATTTCCAACCTCCTGGACACGTTGAGGACTGAGATGGCCAGATGCCCTGCTTAAAGAGGAAAGCTACTGTCACAGATCCTCACCCCAGAGCTCCCCACTTCAGTTCATACTCCAGCAGCAGCCAGCAGGTCCTGGCTTTCAGGAGAAAGTGGCTTTTCCTTTATGACAAGGAGGCTACTGCCCATAGCCCAGGTGAAAAGGGCAAGCCAGCAGCAAATGGTCCTTATTAGAGCACTGGGGGCGGGGTGGTGGTGGGGAGGTCCCGGGCCTGCATCTGGAGTCACAGCAGCTGTTTCCATGCAAGGATTCCAGAACAAGGATTTTGGTTCACACACATCTCTGCATACTGAGATCCTATCTCCTAAAGTCGGATCAAGTGCCGTCTCCTTCAGGAGGTCTTCCCTTGCCCCCTGTCGTAGTGTGTGGGTACTGCAGGAGCCCACTGGTTAAGAGGAGGGTCCGGCCATACTGTAAGGAATTGGCCTAGCCCTCCACGTGCATTTGTGTAGTGCTTTCAAATGAAAATCCATTTCTGCTGTGCCCTTTTGCCAAGCCCTAACCTGTGTCCCCTGTAATGCGGAGGGAAGGGGGGCGGGGACCTCACCTGTGCAATTCAGGGAGAAAAGCAACAGCACCCACAGGACAGGTGTCCACAGCTCAGTCTGAGCATCAGCAGAGCCTCGTGTTTGTTGAACTTCCTGGAATAAGACCTCTCTGCTGGGGTGTAATTTTCCTTTCTTCCCTTTCTTTTAAAACTTCCTAGGGCTGAAGTTTGATTAGCCTGATTAAAAGCCATCCAGGCATTGGCCTCCAGGGATGTGCATTTCATTCTATGAGTCTTGGAGAGCCCAGGCAAGACAAATTAATTCGATCACGTGACCTATTCCAGCCTAATCAGCCTTCTCAACAAGGTGGCAACACGGCTGAAGAAGCAAGCAAGAATTAATGTCAGGGCAAAGGCTCTATCTCTCCCCAGTGAGTGATTCGAGGTCAGAATCCCGTATCTCAGCCGCCAAGCCGCTGCCTCTTCCTTTCTGCAACCTCCCTGCCGTCTCCAGCATGGGGAGCTCACTACCATTCCATGGCTCCTCCAGGTCTTCTCTGCACAGCCCTGATTGCCGGCAGGTTCTTCTCTCCCTCAGCTTCCCCATATCGAGGATACACTTTTTTTGTTTTTTTTGGCTGGAACCACATGGAGTCAGGCAACTTCATCTTCTAAAGGACCGCCTTCCATGAAGGGACAGCTCTCACACCTGTGCTGCCTCGTTTTTCCAGGCTAGACGCATCAGCTCACCCAGCCTTTCCCCATCAGGTTCAAGTCTCTTCCCTGTCATGGTCATTCTCCTGTGAGCAGGTTCCTGTATTCTTGCCTGACTGGGCACAGAGACTGAGAACCACCCTGCTGTTACTGGAGCCCAAGACATGCTTTTGGTACCCCATCACCAGCTACCATTATCCAAAACCCAATGTCTTATAACATGTGCTGCTGCTAAGCCAGAAGGCCTTGTCTTATGCATGTAGAATTGATTTGTTGGAAATAAGTATTGGACTCTCCCATTTATCTGAGTCACTTGATGTTTTGGCACCCTTGGTATGCAGGGTCCTCCCAACTCCGTCTCATTCACAGATGTGATACCCGAAGTATATGCCATTTATTGACTGCTTGCTGTATGTCAGCCACATACATTTGATCACTTAATCCACATAAAAACTGTATGAGAGGAAACTGAGGTTCAGAGAGGTTAAGTAACTTCCCCAAGGTCACATAGCCAAGCGGCAAAGCGGAGATTTGTATGCCATTCCATCTCCTTTCAAAGCCTGCTCTCACCTACTCCATGAATCTGCCTTCTGTTTTCATATATGGCACTGATTAAAGCAAAAGTTGAATAGGACACAGCTGAGAGCTGAGCCCTGTGGCATGCCACTAGAGACATGGCTCTGATTCCCCTGGCTGCACTAATGTGGGCATGGCTTTTTTATTTCCAAACCGCCTAACTGAATTCTCTATACTCATAAGAGACCACTCACACCTCATCCTTATACATATGAGAGACCCTACCAGAAGCCCTGCTGCAGTTAGGAAGCTACAATACCCTTGCGCTTCTAATATTCTGCGTACTACAAAGGTGGGAATGCATGTGCAAGGCACCTGGGTCAGTTACAGGAGGAGGAGGCGGCAGGGCGACAAGTGAGTCCATCTCTCCAGTGCCTGGATCCTAGCAGCTGGCATGCTTGGGGATGGGGAGTTGGGGTGCGGGCAGCAACTAACAGCTGGGCTCTAGCTCTGCCACAGAACGTGTGCCTGGAAGATCTAGAGGCAATCCCAGGACGAGGTGTTCCGTCCCCACCAGCAGCTCCCTCCTCAGGGAGCTCTAGGCCCCGAGCAGGCGGCCCAGCATTTCTGCCTAGTCTGGATTCTGTTCATCGCGGGGGGGGGGGGGGGGGGGGTACATCCTGAGACCAGATTTATTTGCAACAGCAGCAAAGGACTCAATGCCCACGACATCAGGGCTTGTGGGTGGGTGAGAAGGGCAGAACTCACCCCAGATTTCAAAGCAGGCCTGCAGCTGGCAGCAGTGAGAGCTACTGCAAGTGGCCTGGACCTTTGACACCTACATGAAGGGGAGGCGGCGTAGTGGGGAGCCCGGAGGCCTGGGTTCGAATTCCTACCCCAGCACCTATTAACTAAGTGTACTGTGGGCTGGTCACTTACCCTCCCTGAGTTTAATTTTCCTGGTCTTCGAAAAGAAAACAAAGGAAAAATTGATTTCATATTGATTTAAGTAATGGTCAAACACCCAAGTCCAGAAAGGCACATTTAGCTGTGAAGAATAGGAAGGGTCTTATACGATGTAAGTTCAAGGGACCCAAGGGGCCTTTTCTTCTTGATGCCTCTCCCCACTTGTTTCTTGATGCCCAGAGTTCTACCCTGCTGTCTTTCTCCCAGCTCCATAGTCTCCACCCTCGTTAAATGCCTGGGGGAATTTAAATAGCAAACCCAATTAGTTATTCCTCAGAGAAACTGATTTTATGAGGTAAATGGAAGGGGAGATTGGCTAGGAGGAGAGGAACCAAATGTCTGAGGTGATATTTTGTGTCCCCAAGGACACACAGGTACTGCCAAAAGGGAGAAACTTCTGGCAATCAGTGCAAGATCAGGGATCCAGAACCTCCCAGGGAAATACAGAGGCAGGAGAGAGCGCGGGCCAGGTACTGTCCGGCCGGGAGCTGGCTCAGGACTCGACAGGCTTCGGTCTCTGTAAAACAAGCAGATCAGGCCAGGACAACATGAAGTTGCCTTCTATCCGCAGTCTCCGGTTCTCTGTGGTGATGGTGCCTTTGCAGGAAGAAGCCCTGTGAAGTTAGTAACTAGCAAGATCAAGGGCAACTGGTGAAACAAAATGAAGTGACTGTTTTGAAAGACAAGGTCATTTTCAACCTGTAAAATGAAGCTACTGCAAGTGGCCTGGACCTTTGATGATGATGAGCTCAGATGATGAAGATGAGCTCAGAAGCTCATCTTCTGAGTTTATTTATACAGAGGAATTAATGTCCACAAGGTGAAGCTTTTTCGTCACTGGGAGGGAGCAGAGGTTCTCATCAGAATGGGAACTGGTGATTAACTTTGTGCTCTGTGGATCTGGTGTCTTCTTTCACTGACTTTGGGGACATAAGAGGAAACAGAAGTGGCCTTTTGGAACAAGGGTGGAGAAGATGATACCTTATTTTACTTTTCCTGATCTCAAGCCCTGAGGAACTAGAGTGATGGGCAGGTACTGCCCCGGCCACGTGTGACCAGGGAACTGAAGTCACTGCATTTTTGTCTTGGGTCCTGGGGAAGCAGGTTGAAAATGGTTTTCTTTTGTGGAAATTGCTTTGGGCTCTGTTCAGGGTAAAGCATGAAGAAGTCTCCTTCTCTGTAGGACACAACCCCTTATGCCCAGAAGCTCACCTAAAATAGCTACACTAGGAGACTGATCTGGGGTTTGGGGTGCCCTCGGTCCCAGCTGCAATTCTCTGTGGCAGACTGTGAAGCCTTTCTCGATTGCAGTATCTGCAAAAACATGCCAGCCAGCTCTCAAATAACTGAGTCAACCAAACAGATCTAAATAGGAAAAGCAAAATTCAAGACATTTTTATTTCTGGTCTTTTCAAGGTGTAAAGTTAATTTTTTTGTTCAAAGGAAACATATTCATCCTTCCTTATGACTCTTCACTAGGAAAATGGGCCCAATGATTTAAAAAGAGAAACAGAAACCTGGGTCTCTAACTTGGTGAAAGACCTGGGAGGCGGGATGTCTCAGGGGTCGGGGAAATGATACTCCCTGCCTTGGGGGGCACTCAGCAAAGGACCACACTAATGCATATGTTCCCAGCACAGCTGTGTGACATCATTGAGGATAAAGAGTGATTAATATTTAAGGACACACATTCATAATTATTTCTCCCAAAAGTTTTCTAAAAGGATTGGAATTTCAAGGCAAAGATCTACGATTTGTTCAAACAGCATTTCCTCCCTGCAAATAGTGATGTGAAACTTTAAAAATTTTATGTGACTGTGCCAGAGTCCTTGGCTGAAATCAATCTTACAGGGAAAACTAGTCTGTGAATTGACAGATGTTGGGCTGCTCTGGGAAGAAGGGGAGGGCTCTGACCCCAGCCTTCCGGCCCAAGGCTGCTCCCCCCAGCCTGAACTCCTATTCTCAATCTTTGGTGATGCTAAGGAGCCATTCTGGAAACTTCTGTCTGTTAACCCACTCCTGCCTCCATGAGATAATGCTTCTCATGAAGGAAGCATTTTTCCTCTCTCTCCTTTTGAAACCTCTCAAGTGTTTCCACGGGATTCTGTACTAATCTGTCAACAAGCTTTTACCACGTAGGTAGCTGGGAACGGCCCCAAGTGGAGCTCACTGAGACCCGGCTAGTGGTCAGGCTGAGACAGCCTGATGTGGCCACAGGCAGGAAATGGCCCATTCCAGGTGTCGGGACAGCTGGGGCCATCTGAGGTCAGAGGAGGTGAAGAAGGCTTCAGCTGGGACGCCAGAAAAGGCCCATAGGAGGGGCAGCATCTCCAAGACCCGCAGTGAGCACCGATTAAGCTCTCACTGCATGGCAGGGGTACCCTGTTTTACCCTCATTTCTGCCCTGAGGTCAGTACTAGTCCATTTTGCAGATGAGGAAACTGAGGCTTGGAGCTGTTGAGCAGCTTTTCAGAGCCACTTTTCAAACCCGGCAGTCTGACCCCGAGCCTGTGCTGTTGGTCACCACGCTGGCCTGGGGACGCGGGTGGGGGAGGGGAGGGCATTTGCTCACCCGTGAGATGGCAGAGTACTGTCCAAGAGCATCACTTCAGAGCGCTGGCTGTGTGGACAACCTATCCCCGGAGCGTGCATGGACCCAATGTGAGCCCACAGCGAGGCTCTCGGAAGCCGGAGGCTCTTGAACAGCCCGCAAGCCAGACGGAGCTTGTCGGCCACCGGCCGAGGCAGAGCCAGGGCGAGTTGGGCACAGCTGGCTCGTGGTGGTGTCGGGTCAAGCAGGCCTTCTGGGCAGGAGCCCCAGCCCACTCGCCAGGCCCGCCTTCTCACTGGGAGGAGCCAGACTGACACTCCAGGGACTCTGGAAGCTCCACGAGATGCTCTGGTTTTGTCCCGCTCGAGGCAAAAGGGAGCAATGGGGAAAAGTTCCATTTGCTTCAAATTCTTCTTGATCCTAACAGCTTCCTCCTTCTCCCGTTGGGCCCAAGATCCCAGGAGCCTGATGCTGCCCAGGGAGCCTGACTTCCTGCTGTCCTCCACGCTTGGGACTTTTCTCCCCTCTACCGCAATCCTCTTTGAAGCCCCTCTTCAGGGGGTTTTATTAGCTCAGGTGTGGGAAAGAAACTATTAATGCACACCAAAGTTTTAATAGCAGATAACTGTCCTAATAGTGTTCCTCTTCCTTTTAAATAAGGGCAATGCCTTAACCTAAAGGAAGGAGTCCTCAGTTGTGGAACACAAGTATTGACAGTCGGCCAGTTAGGAGGGAGAAATTTGAGTAGGGTGAGAATTTCTGATGCCCCTGAGTCTATCAAATTTCCTGGGTCCAAGCACCAACTTAAAAAGAGTTGGAGGGAATATCTGTTGCCATGCTTTGAGATTTCCTTCCTTTGCCTGAATCCCAGAAGGTGGAGGTCCAAAGACTACATAAGTTTGCAAAGATAGGGAAACTGCTGTCTATCACTTATTAGCCGAGTTGCTAAGGAGCAGGGACAAAGCAGCTAGACGTAGGAAAAACCAAATGTACATTTGAGAGAGGAAGTGACATATATAAGTTAGTGAGGAGAAACGATGGAGGAGGGCCTAGTGCCAGGGATGCGAGGATTGAGGACTGTAATTGCACTTTTGGCCGTCAGATAATATGCAGTTTTCATGGGAGGGAGGTTTTAAGTGTTATATTTGTGAGACAAAAATAACATAAATATTGGAAATAAAGCTTCTTCTTGTTCAGCTCAATCAACTCACTGAGAATTTAAGAAACATAAGAATGTAAGTCCATTTGCACCAAATAGATACTCTCCCATTTCCCATTTCCCAATGCTGCTCCATTTTGCAGTTGAAGAAACTGAGGCATGGAGGGGTTAGTGAGTTTTCCCAGGTCTACTAGTAAGTTAGGAACAGGGCTAGAAGTAGAACTCAAGGCCCCAGGTTTCCATGTGGCTGCCTGTGTCAGGATGTCACTGATGGGGCCGATGGCTTTGCTGGCAAGGCACGGCCCACTCCCCCCAGGTACATGAGCACGGCTGAGTCCTGGCCTTCTCCTGGAAGTGAGGGACAGTTAATCTGATCTGTACTCCACCCCAGTGCCCAGGGCAGTGGCTGGTGCACAGACAGAGCCCGATAAATATTTGATGTATACAAGGGAACGTGTGGCAGCTTGGGGACATTTTTACAGTAGAATTTAATCAGCTGCACATGAGTCTTCATTTTCTTGCCTCTAGAAAAAAAGTTACAAACATTATGTAACTTTTGAAGCCTCATTTTCCCACATCTCTAAAATGAGAATAAAAACTACTTCAGTGTGGGTTGTGAGGAGTAAGGGACATGGAAAACGAAGTTAGAAGGAGTGCTGTGAACAGAGCCCGCCCTCCGACCTGCGCTTGCCCACAGGCTAAGGCAGTCTTTCCCCCAGGTCTAGATCAGCTATGGAAATAACCTGTTCCAGGCACGAAGTTAAAAGCCCATCCTACCTGCTGAGGCCGTTCTCAATGCTATCGAGATCTCTGTCCGTGGTCCTTACCACGAGGTGGTGAGTCCTGGAAGGGTGGGAGTATTGGGTGCTAATCTTGGCCATCTTCTTGCTTTGTCACATTCAGCTCCAGAGTGGTTGCTGAAACATGAACACAAAGCAGATATGTCATCAGGACCCCCCAGGAAGTAACTGCAAACCCAGCTGGTATGGGAGGGCTACTCCCCCAGGCAAGCCCTGGCACACGTGCCCTCCTCCATTTCTCTCCCAGTTCCTGCCACACTGTGTTTTAGTTGGATCTCTCCGGGCTAGTTGTCCGAACCAGAAGCACAAACAAGGTCTTTTACTCCTTTGTATATGCTGCATGCTGAGAGCTGCTCAAAGGTTTTTTTTGTTTGTTTGTTTTGTTTTGCTTTTTGCCACACCTCCTGGTTTGCAGGATCTTAGTTCCCCGACCAGGGACTGAACCTGGGCCCCCAGCAGAGGAAGCGCGAAGTCCTAACTACTGGACCGCCAGGGAATTCCCAGGGGCTGCTCAAAGTTAAGCGCTGATTCAGCAAATGAATGAATTAATGGCCAAGTTGGTATCCTATGTAAGAAAGCTAAAACCCTCATGATTCTCTTTAATGATGCAGTGTCCCTCCTAACTCTGGCTTCCTCATTTACCCTATGTTAATCTTATAATTTTGCACATGTTTTAGTAACTCCCCAAAATCTTGTTTTAAAACAAAGTATAAAAAACCTAAGTACTTGACATTTATAAAACCTTTACAATGTGATGTTCAACCCAGTACACACTTCATCTCATTTAATCTTCACAATAACCTCATCAGATATTTACAATTTTTGTCTACATTTAAAGATGACTAAATTGAGGGACCTCTCCAGTGGCACAGTGGTTAGGAATCTACCTGCCAATGCAGGGGACACTGGTTTGAGCCCTGGTCCGGGAAGATCCCACATGCCGTGGAGCAACTAAGCCCGTCCGCCACAACTACTGAGCCTGTGCTCTAGAGCCTGTGAGCCACAACTACTGAGCCCACGTGCCACAACTACTGAAGCCCGCATGCCTAGAGCCGGTACTCCACAACAAGAGAAGCCACCGCAACGAGAAGGCCACGCACTGCAATGACCCGCCCGCCTGCCACTGCGCCACCTGGTTCCTAACAGGCCTCGGACCAGTACCTTTAAAGGCCCCCACTCTGACTCCCCTCCAGCCCTAGCCCATGAGGCCAAGGGAACATGCTCTCCCAGAACCCCATGCCCTGCTCTAGCCTATGCTCTGGGTGCCCGGGACCCCCAAATTCTCTGTGGACAGGCTCTAGAGGCTGCCTGGGCCTCTTCCCAGGTCTGTCTTCCTGAGAACGGTGTCGATGTGCTGCCCCTAGACCTACAGGTGGCCCAGGAGGAGCTATTTGTGAGGGTGAGGTGAATGGAGCTTGAAGGTGTGGGCAGATTGTCCACTCATGTGTGTGAAAGGCCCCCTGTGGCTTGGGGTGGACTCAAGGCTGGGAATAGAAGGGGGCAGGCCATGGATGGGGGACCAGAGATCAAATGTCCCCATGCCACTATGTTCCAAGGCCATTCTGACACACGTGCAAACCCAAAGTGCTAGAGAGTTAACGCCCCTTGGGCAACCCTTGACTAACAGAACCTGGAACCATGGGTAAATATTCCCCTTTTCCGTCCCCTCAGGAAGATAATTCAGACATATATTCTACATGGCTCTTTGGAGAAGCCCTAGAAGGATCAAACGACTTGCCCAGAGTGGTGATTAGTTTGATAATGTACACTTGGGGTAGTTTCCCCTGCCTCCCTTGTTTTCTCTTCCAAGACCCCTACTTCTCTTCCTTGGAACCACTCCCCAAAAAAGTTGCCTGCCAGCATGCCGTTACCCAAAAAATTCTTTTTTTTTTTTTTAATGGTGGGAGGAGGGGATTACCTCAGCTAAGAGAATGCTTTTTAGTTATTTAGACATGGTAAGTGGGCCCTGTGCACTCCTGACCTCAAGGGTTAGAAGTAACCTAATTTCCTTCTTAATTCCGTGTTCTTTATCCAGGAGAATAAGGTTGGGTAGGACAGGGCAAAATGTACATCATTAAAGGAAAATGTTAGTTTAAGGTAAATCATTAAGATCTTTTTTCCCCTAATTGCTTCATAAATGTCATAAGGGTTGTCTTAAAAAATTACTTAAAAGAATCAGGACACAAACAAAGTCTATATATTCTGATTGGTTGATGTATCTCACTGGTATTTTTAAATCTAAAGTTTCTATGCGTTTCTCTTCTTTCTCTTTACGGAAGAAACGTAATTGTTTGTACTATAGAATTTCCCACAATATGGATTTTTGCCAATTCCAACTCTACGATGTTTCCTGTAAATTAGAAGTTGTACTCAGGGCTTGTTCAAATTTGGGTTCCATATTTTCTTGGGTGATTTTAGCAGCCACTGGTGATCACTGACTGGATCTATTGATTTATTAGGAGTTGCAAATTGGTGATATTCTAGCATTCCATCTTCATCAGTTAGCTGAAGTATTCTTAAAAAAGAAAATCTGACTTCTTATTTGGCTGCTCAGTGGTATGGTTCATACAGGAAAGGCAGAATAGACACTTAATTCTTTCCCTTTATTTACCAGCTTGTAAGCCATGGCATCCTAAGTGATTCCCCAACCGCCAGAGTGTTTTCACATCTCCCGGCCCCATAAACTCTAGGAGAACTCACAAGTGAGATGATGAAAGTACAATAGATGATCCTGAGGCTCTGCTGAAAATGGAAACTGCCATCCAGCCAGGGCCCCCTGAGCGTGAGGCTCCTGCATATCCATTACTCATCCATCCTCAGGAACCCCAAGAGGTAATAGCGAGGCTGATTTCGCGGGTAAGGAAATGCGGGCTAGGGTCTGTCTGACCCTGCTGTCTGTGTTGTGGTTTGCTTTGTTTATCATGCCCGCTGCAGGAGATGAGAACTGCACAAATACAATTTTAATTTTCAAGCACGGGAAGAAGATGCATCCTGCCAAGTACCAGGGTGACCTTGAAGTGGATCCCAGGCCTGAGCCGTTTGTGAGCATCTCCCAAATGAATGTGTGTTTTCTAGGGCTTGACTGGGAACTAAGGACATACCATTCCAGACAATTCCCATTTTCTTTACAACATCACTAAACCCAGCATATTTTCTTCCCACCGACACACTTATTGACTCCATCAGTGTCCTAGGCATTGCACCCGGCCCTGAGGATTATGATGAAGAAGACAGGTCCCTGTCTTTGAAAGCACAAAGTTGCCTGGAAAAACAGGTATGTAAACAGCAGGGGGAGGAAAGAGAGGTGCTGAAATAGAGACAGAGACATGATGGGGAACAATGTGGATGGGGGGCACTAATTCTGCCTTAGGGACCACTGAGGTCTGAGAAGGCTCCTCACGTGAGGAGCAATCACAAGAATTATTTAACATTAGTCAACATGCACTATGTGTTAGCCATTGTGCTGTGCACCTTTAAGGATCTGACTGTCTTTTGTGCATATCTTTAACTCTCTCCACTGTTCTCGGCTGGGACACCTAAGTAGGCAGGAATCTAACAAAGCTCGCCTGCATTCCAGATGTATTTTTTTCGCTCCTTTATTAACTCCAAAAGCCTTGAAGGCAAGAATTGTTTCCTTTTACTTAGAATATTTTATCCTCCAAAATACTCAGCGTATACACATGGTAGGTAATAAAAAGTAGGTGGCATAAATGGAGGAGGACCAGGTGAGTAACTGTAATGACGACACTGATAATTACAACAGTATATTTACTAGCATTTACTCTTTGCCTGGTCCTGTTCTGATAATTTAAGTGTGTATTTACTCACTTGATCCTCACAGCACTCCTGTGAATGAGTCACACTGAACATTTCTATCCTATTTAAGAATGGATGGGAATTTATGAGGGAGAGAGCGAGTGAGCAACAAAGGAGGTCAAAACATGGGAAACCCTTTCTTCTAAACTGAAGTGTGCTTCTGAAAAAAAATCTTGGTCCCCACTTACGATGACTAACTTTCCATACTAAAAAAATATTGTCCATGTTCTGTCCTCTTTTTTATTATGGCTTAGACATGAAAACCAGTCCTGCTTCCATTTGTGTCATTTGAAACATTGTCATTTTTCAAACCCTGAATGTATCTCATCAATAGAGAGGTGCCTGCAGCCCAACGTGCACGCCCATCTAACCCACTGGAGGTCCTTGCGAGGTATCACTGTCCTGCGTGATGACTCCTATTCAGCTGGGGACTGGCAGGTCCAATTAGTGAGGCCCCAAGTCTAGACACAGAGCCACGCCAAATAAATGGGAACCCCAATCAGAGGGGAGCCCCATAGTCTTGCTGGATGTGCACTCTTGGCCCAGGTCTCTGTCTTCTCCAATGGAGATCGACCACTTTTACCACCTGGGGTCTTTGCTCTTCTCAGAAGTAACCTCTCTTTGGGCTTCATCCATTTCAATCCTCCACAACTCAACTTTCTCATCATTGTTCTAGGCAAAAGCACTCAGCCAATTCTCAGTAAGTATGAGGTTGGACGGGCTCACTGTGTCAAATTAAACTCCAAAGATAAATCAATAACTCCCACAAGGTCTGCATGCCTTGGAACTATTGTCTAAAGCACACTTCTAATTGCCTTTCCCTTCTTTCCTATTCCATCTGAGAACTTCAGGGTAGAAGGGAAAATGTCCAATGCTGAGGCACTGAATCACTCTGAGACCTGCGAACCAGCCAGAGAACAAACACAAGGACCAGAACAGACGTCACTACACTAACCCAATGACGAGGGCTGTGTGTTTTCAAGCAGTCCCTTGAGTAATATCTTTTGTTTGAGACAAATGACTTTGGAAAGACAATATAGGCAGTCAAGGGCACTCAACTGAGAGAAACGAGAGCTGGAGTCTCTTCTCAGCTCAGCCTCCAATTTGGGCGAGTGACCCAGCACTTTAGTTTCTTCATCTAATGATGGACATAGACTTATTGCAGATGAAATCTTTCATAGGAACCCAATGCATAAAACATTCACTTGTAGTATTTTATTTAAATGTATTTTGTAATTTTATAAAGACAAGCAGTGGGACATAAGTTAATTTTGACCATGATATCCAATATAGTAAAGTTT